TACGCTGGGAAAAGCCGGTGAGTACAAAGATTATGCTGCTGAGAAGGCGAAAGAGTCTAAGGATTCTGCCGTGGGCAAAGCTGGTGAGTACAAAGACTATACAGCACAGAAGGCAGGGGAATATACAGAGTTTGCTGCACAAAAGGCAAAAGAGGCGGAGGATACTACGCTGGGAAAAGCCGGTGAGTACAAAGATTATGCTGCTGAGAAGGCGAAAGAGTCTAAGGATTCTGCCGTGGGCAAAGCTGATGAGTACAAAGACTATACAGCACAGAAGGCAGGGGAATATACAGAGTTTGCTGCACAAAAGGCAAAAGAGGCGAAGGATATTACATTGGGAAAAGCTGGTGAGTACAAAGATTATGCTGCAGAGAAGGCAAAGGAGACCAAGGATTCTGCAATGGAGAAGGCAGGGGAATATACAGATTATGCTGCACAGAAGGCCAAGAAGACCAAGGATGCTACGCTGGAAACAGCCGGTGAATACAAAGACTATGCTGCAGAAAAGGCTAGTGAATACAAGGACTATGCGGCAGATAAGGCTAAGCAAGCAAAGGATACGACATTGGAGAAAGCTAAGGAAGCAAAAGATGCAACAAAGAACAAAGCTGGAGAATATAAGGATTATGCAGCAGACACGGCTAAGCAAGCGAAGGATACAACAATGGAGAAAGCAGAAGAAGCAAAAGATACAACAATGCAGAAGGCTGGGGAGTACAAGGACTATGCTTCAGACAAGGCTATGCAAGCAAAAGATACAACAATGGAGAAAGCTGGTGAATACAAGGATTACACTGCTGAGAAGGCCGTAAAGGGAAAGGATACTACTGTTGGCAAAATTTCTGAACTGAAGGATTCAGCAGCCGATGCTGCAAGGAAGGCTGTGGACTATTTGACTGGGAAGAAAGAAGAGGCAAAGCAGACGGCTCAAGAGACCACTGACGCAACAAAGCAGAAGGCACAAGAGACTGGTGAAGCAGCTAAACAGAAGGCACAAGAAACTGGTGAAGCAGCAAAGCAGAAGGCTCAAGAGACCACTGACGCAGCAAAACAGAAGGCACAAGAGACAGCTGAAGCAGCAAAACAGAAGACACAAGAGACTACTGAAGCTGCCAAGGTAATTTGCGGTTTATGTAATTCCATTATGTCTGTGTATATTGGTTATGGCTTCTTGAATTGGCTTTCTGAATTTTAACTTATAAGACGATTATGTAATATAGGAAGAGTACCAAGGAACCAGGGAAGAAGCAAGAAGGAAAATGGAAGAGATGAAACTGGAAGGAGAAAGGGACAAGGATGAGGATACAAGGAGAGCCGAAGCAGAAAGGTAGTAGCCCCTAATTCTTATTGCAATTGTCCAGTCATTTTTCATCATTGTGCATAATCTTTTCATTTTTATTTTTGGATTCAACAGTGGGGATGGCGGCATATTCGGTGCCTTAGGCATTGTAAAGGACGCCATCAAAGATAAACTGACTCCACATCCAACAGAAGCAAAAGAAGAGATCCGAGAGACACGCGAACCCGGAGTTCCAAAGGCGGGGGAGAGATTGGCGGTGGACAAGGAGGGGATTCCAATTGTAACGGCGGTGGATGTAGTGGAGACTCCGGTTGTGGAGATTGACGTGGAGGAGAAGCCTGCTGGGGCGACGGCTTCGGCAGTGGAGTTTGACGTGGTGGAGACGCCTGCTGGAGCGAAAGCGACTGACCAGATGAGTGGTCAAACATTCAACGACGTCGGACGGTTGGATGATGAGGGCCGCGTGCGTGTGGACCGTCCTGGAGGGATGTAGGCTAATGCACTTGTGGGCTTCTGTCAAGACTCTCGTTTCCTTGTTATAATCTGTCGAAGTTTGTGTGTTTCTGTATTGAAATATGTTAATAGATGGGCTTCTCCTTCCCGAAAATAGTTCACTCTTCATTATCAGCATAAGAACTTGTTTGAGAGAAAATGTAATGGGATTAAAATTTTAACTTTAAATGATAGGAAGATTACGATCTTTTAAGCTAAAAATCAGAATGCAAATTGTTACTTCAAGGATTTGGGGTATGAAGAGGAGCAATCTGATGGATTGGCTGGTTTCTACGAATTCCTTGTAAGTGATTAATGCGCAAATCGCTCTTATTTAGTTTAAAATTTAGTAAGATTAATTTATTTGTAGGTTATGATTGTAATTTAGGAGCTTGACCCAGTCCAATTTTTGCTCAATTTTTTTATTTTTTATTTTCCACTTATGGGCTTTTGTCAAGGTCGAGTTTGTGTTACTGTAGATATTTCTTATTTATTTATGCAATTTTATGAAATTTTTCTATGAGTTATCTCTTTATGAAAATTTGTCTATGCTTCAACTAAACTACACTAGAAGAATCCTAAGTCAATGTACTATATGTTTATTTTTTATTTTTAATTGGATTTATGATATTTGAGTACGTGATTAAGTGCGCATAGATATAAATCATGTACCGATTGAGAATTGATTTGTCCTGGATATGTGAACAAAAGTTGACACTTTGTTCTAATAAGGTTGTATCTTATGCCACTTCATCAAGTGGGGTACGAAGATGACTTTGACCGTGGCGATCACACAAGTAATGTTAGTATACTTGCAAGGGAGAGAATTTTCAACGGGGTAGGCGCACCATCCAAGTAGTGCGCGGGCTCAATGTTGAGACGCCACCTCGACGGGTGGCTCCTCACACACCCTCTGACACGACTCATCCCGAATCACTCTAATAGACCCGACACGTGTCGTGCACCAATGATAGATGTTGTCTCTTTGATTTCAACATGGAATTTATGATTTTATGGAAGGATTTTATGAATATGGTTCCTTTCAAATTTTAGCAACAAGTGGTATCAGAGCCATCCATTGTTGAAATCTTTGAGAAATTGAAATAATTTAGTATTTTTTTTTTTGTTATTGTTATGGATCTTCCATGATGTTATGTGAAATTTAAATTTCTGCAATTTTTTTTTAAGATTTTCAAATTTAACTATTT